AGAGATCAGCTAAGGTGTTGTTAACCACATAGAACTACTTGCACAAAAGGACAATGGTAGTGTGAGTAGAGGGATCGCTAACATTAAGTCCCTACTTGGTCATAACCCGTTGTGACAATAAGGGCACAAAAAGAACCGGGTTCCCAAATATTCTCTTTCGCGCTTCCTTCGAACCGCTGGAAGGGCCTTTCCGATGGGCGATTTATTAGATTCTGTTGTGACTCTTTTTTCTCAGGATAAAATACTTTTATATCGAGTCCTCAGCCCCAACGAAATGACCGCGCATTACATAATAATAACGGAGAATTGGCTCGTGCATATGAAACTCATTCTTCAAACTGTCAAGCAGCATGGATTGATTAACGGAAACTTGTACAAATGTTACATGAAGAGAATTTAATGATTTCTCGTTTTAAACGTGTGAAAAAAATATTGTAATTGACAGATGCATTATGTAAACTACCGTGCGAACGCCCAAAGTTCTCGTCAACTCATGACAGTTTCCAACCACAATGTAAAACCTTTGTACATTGTCAAAAGACTATCTTAACACGGTTACCAGAAGGAATATCAAAAAGAAACTGACATGGTGATGAGAAACAGCATCCATTTCTAAGACTGATTAGTTTGAATAGTTATGTTTGAAATGTTTGCTTGAGTGTGAAGAATCAAACTTGGAAATCAATTAACTACTAATAGAACGCTTCGTATTTGCATCCGGTTAAGTCGCTCCACTAAACCGTTTGTGAGTGTAACCGCTATCAAGTATTTCGATTTTCAGGCAGTATAATAAAACAACAGCTGAACGAGGGCAATTGTTTGAGTAGAAAAGAGTCGATTTACTAAGACGGAAATCGTCACTTAAACGTTGGCAACTGCAATTAGTCAAACACTCTATGCAGCTAAAATTGAGGTCACATTCGCATCCAGACCTGCCATCAGGCTGTGACTCAAACATAAAGTTCCAGTTTCTCTTTCCCCTATTCCTGTGGAATAACGGTCGCACGATCCGACAATGGACTAAGCGAGCTTCTGAGTATTACTTGGCTTGACAGACGCTCATGCACACACCTGTGAAGATGACTGTTCCCTCATAGGTAAGTTTCAACATTCGCTCGCTGTTTAGCATATTGGCTGACTTCGCCGATCTGCTAAATTATCGTGTGCCCACAAACACGTGTGCGATATATATACAGGAATCAAGGTAAAACCAAAACATGGAGGTTAACATACCTGACTTCGTAAATATTCAACAAGACAGAGAATGAAGCAAAAAGAAGACCAGAGGCAGAGCAATAACCTACAAGTTTAAACTTTTGTTTGCCTTCTCCTATTAACTAGCTCACCCTTCCATATTAACCTGGGTTTTCCTCTTTTCGGAGCACAATTATTACTAATCTCTATACTGCCCCTTTTTGCTCATACATCGAAACCACCTCCTTCTACGATGCATTCATGTCTTCCATTGATCCCCTCGTTGATGATTATCTAATTTTAATTGTTGATGATTTTAATCACAGATCAACCCAAGCTTTACTTTTTTTCGGCCCATCACATCTCTCTTTAACACCCACCAGAGGAGATGCTGTATCAGACAAGGTCATTACTAATTATCTTAATATTTCCCCCCTCAAACTGAAGGCGTCAATCTCTACTAGCGAACACTGTTCCTTATATCTTCCGCCAAAAGTTTACTTTCGGTTGGCAGATTCCGCTTTCATTCAGACAAAACAAATGAATACAAAAATTCGGAATATTTCAACCGACAGGCTCCTCCTCCTAGGGAAATCTCTTGTCAGCATCTCCTCATGGTTTTCAACAATCTTCCTGTTTTTTTTGTGAAACAGCTAATGTGATTTTCAATTCGTGCTGTCCTATGGAAATATTTTCTTGTTCACACTGGTACAGTATGCTCTCCGTTACTAAACGCTCTTAGACGACAAAAAGAACAAGCGTTCAAGATGTACCAAAACAATCTCTGCGAAACAGTTTTCGTATAAACCAAATAGATGTACTTTAGACGCTGGCTGTTCACTGATGCACTTTATTTGCAAATCTTTGGACTACTTCCAAAACTCTGTTCGACGTGTTCGCCTTGATTATTTTTCCGCTTTTGATTCTGTTCCCTGATCTCTTCTCCTTAAGTTATGGTCATTCGGTTGTCCCACTACTTTATTTTTGAGGTTGAAAGACTATTTTACAGGAAGGATTCAAAGAATGAAGGCGAACAGCTCTGTTTCAAAACCGTCGGTGAATGACTCTAGTCCTTCGGGGTGTTGTGCTTTCTCCATACTTATTTTCATCACTCATCAGTGATTTACTCTCTGATGTCGTCTTATGTCAAGTCATCTCAAACCAATCTGACGTGGAATTATTTTCTGAGTTATACTCGAACCAATCGGGTTTCCAGTTGAATGCTTCTAGATGTGTTCAAATGCGTTTTGGTCATTTCCGGTTCGAGTATCCTTTGGAACCCCCAGTCATCAATTCCGTACCCATCAACAGAACACACCAACATATACCTAGGAGTCCCCATAGAAAGCAATTTACGGTGGTCCTCTCATGTGTTAGCCTGCGTTGACAGACTCCGTCGCTTATCCTTCCAGATATGCAAGCTGCAACGATTTAGAGTGTATCATACGACCATATGCTCTTTTGTTTATCAATGCATTTTTCGTGTTATACTTTACTATTCACCCGTTATTTTCCCAGGACTACTTAAAAAGGATTTCACTATTCCTCACTGCTCTTTGGTATTGTATTGTATGGTGCATAACTTTTGGAAGCACTAGAACTTGCATTTCAGTTAAAAATCATACACGCCAACCGTCACAAAGCACATATTCAACGGGGTGAAAGTGTTTACAGATATGGGGACAGTTCATAATCCAAGGTTAAGAAAAGCTCACGTATTGCCCTCTCTTTGTATGTGAGTAAACGTGCAACATACGGTATAGGTGACCTTCGGTAAGCGTTAATTCCAGATGAAATTTGACGGATTTGGGAGTGTGTGGAACGACAGCGTGCCAGTTCTGCTTGCAATGGGTGGTCATGATCTGTGAGAACCCTCCCCACAAATTTCACACAGGAAGTTATATGATACTGCTAAAGTTTCACAGCTAAATCATTCACAGGAATAGAAGAGACACGACTAACAATGGTTAGACCGCGGCTTAAAACGTTAAAACCCGATTTGCGTGGGTCAGGAAAAGTAACTGGAGACAAATACAGTACGGTGGGGAAAACACACTGACAAACAAAGGTAGAAATAACTGACTGGGGTGCGCGAACCGCCTGAGCTTTCAAATCTAAAATGAAAGGCGAGGCAGTTTACCAATGCAGTCGTGGATATGGGTCGACCAAAGAAGATTGCTAGCTATGGTTACACTAAGATATTTGACAGAGTTCACCCTAGATAAACGATTATGTATAACTGTGTGGTCTGTCGAATATGGAGAGCGAGCAAAACTATATAAACACTAAGCACATTTACTGGGGTTTAAGGGTAGCCCCGATGAGGAGGAGAATGGCTGAATTTGACCAATTTAATTACCAGTAGTGTTTCTCTCATTCCCTTAAACACTCTAATCACAAAATTGTGAGCTTTTCATATTACTTCAAGTGAGAATGGCACCTATCAGATACTCAACGAACCTAATTATCCGCTCAATCCCGGTCCATCTGCCAACCGTTCCCACGCTACAATTCGATTCAATTATTGAATACTTACCTCACTTCAGCAGTGCCCAATATGGCTCGTATTCTAACGGACAAGATCCGAAACGAACTAATTTTGAACGTACAAAAATGATCTTTTGTTCAAGTTATAGTTTTTCAGTATAGTGCTTCCTTCTTATCCCATTGTAACGGTGAGGACATTTTTTTACTGAAATGTAGACTTAATAGCCTGCACAAGTCAGTACAATATAATACAACACCCGGGGCACATAAATTGTGATTTACTGGCCAAAGAAGATCAATAGTTGAGGGCAAGTCTTATTTGCAACATTGTATTCAACCTCTAACAGCGTTGGCAAGCACAATAGTGGCCTCCCTTGGCACATGACANCGCAGACGAAACAAGCATACCAGATTAACAATCTATTGTTTAAGGTAGGGAATTCAAAATCCTCCCAACTGACAGAAACCCAACTACTTTAAAAGAGGGCGAATACCTGAGTGAACAAAATGACGAAAGCCAAGATTTTTTAGGAAACCAGTTGTATCGCGAAAACAGGGCATTTCGCGAATTATTACGAGGCATAGTCCCCGTGGTGGCATATTCCCTCGTAAAAATTGACCGGCAGAAAGGGGAAAAATATGCATAAGTAAAACAAGCAAACCACCGAATTAACTCACCTTTCCGTTGCTGTACAGATTGGGATTGAACCGCACGGATCCATTTCCCGTTGTCATTAATTTTACTCGGGGAGGCCTCAACGGGTACTCGGGAGGAAATTTAACAAGGAACAGGAAAAATCCGCCTTCGTATGGAGTATCAAACGGGCCGGTAACCAACGCGTAGACCCGGGTAAGATCGTCATTGTCGGGAATTACACAAATACCGGGAGCTGGATCACTAAACACACAGACAGAGAGAGATGTAACACGAAAACGCAAAAATGCATGCTTACTTGCATATTGTGCGGAGATCTTTTGTGATTCGCAAGAAACACGTCTCGCTCGGGACTCCTTGTTCCGCTTTCCATTCCGGATCCCACGATTCGTTCGTCTGATTCATAAATTGAGAGTATTTCTGTTGTGCACCTGAGACACTTGAATGAGCCATTGCCAAAATTTCTGTTGGAGGAAGTGTGGAGTGTGAACCAATACATTTTAACATTAAGAAGATCCCCATGAGAAAAAACAAAACCTCCTGTAACCGATAAATCACAAGTAATCTAGGAATTCGGATGTTGGTGTGGAGCCACTTATTTGAGTAGTAATATGAGGAACGGCTGTTCGCGCAAAGTGATTTGCTATCTAAGCAGAATTGTATCAACAACTTTCGATTTGACCACCTGTTCAATGAGTATATCGGTAAACCGTTGAAGTTGCCACCCGGACAATAGACTCTTAAATTTATTGTTATATTAAACGTAAGTAAAAAGTATTTCTATGAGTACAAAATACGATACTACATACATTTTTTTACTACACACCTGGGTATGATGAACAGCAGACGGAGTAAACCCCATAGCCACGAGGAACTGCTGTTCATGGGTTGAG